TTAACACATCCTCCCAATAACGATATTGGGGGTGGTTTAATAGCACCTCTCACAGGGGGTGGTCTAACTCGTTCTCCACAATGTTCTTCGAATGAAGACATAGACGATGACGGGAAAATGAAAGAGCTTGAAAACAAAGTCAACGCTTTGATGACGGCTCAAGAAGTGAAGAGGACGGGTATTCCATGTCCCTATCCAAGAGAATGGAATTCAATACCGTACCCGGCAAAATTCAACATGATTAACTTCACACCATTTGACGGGAAGAACTCGTCTATTCAGCACTTGATTTATTTCAAGTCTCATTTGGGCATGATCTCTGGAAACGAGGCTTTAATGGTCCGGTCATTCGTTGGCACCCTTCGTGGGCCCGCCTTCGATTGGTACCGACGGCTCAAGCCAGGGAGCATCAATTACTGGGATGACATAGAGAGTTTGTTCCTCAGCAACTTCTTCGATGATGACACCGAAGTGTCAATCGGAACCCTTTTGGATGAAAAGCAAAAAGACGGAGAGTCAGTCAACGATTTTGTCAAGCGCTTCCGTGGCAAAGCAATGAATTGCAGAGATCCTATTACAGAGGAGTTCATCCTGCAAACATGTCATAATAACCTCTCCATCGATGTCCTGGAAACTCTGGGGGTTGTACCATCCACCACTTGGAAAGAGTTAAAACTACGTGGTGAACAAGCTGAACACTTTCTTAAAAGAAAGAAAGTTGAGAGAGGTCAACCAACGACGTCCACAATTGTCGGGAATGCGACTTTCGATCCGAGGTTCCAAAAAGAGTATTCTTTCGAAGATGATGAAGCTCCAGCTATATTGGAATACCTCCTCGCCAATGACAAAATCGAGCTACCGCTTATTAAAAATCAGGAGGGTGCTAAGATGATTACAGATCCAAATTACTGTGCATACCACAGAAGGGTTCTTCATCCCACCAATATTTGCTTTGGACTCAAAAATAAGATCCAAGTATTAATTGACTCCGGCGTCATAACGGCGAAAGAGGTCGAGTAAAGACAACCATATTACTCCATTGGGTACACGAGTATAAACTGTTTTCCCTGACTCCGATGAGTATACGAGTATAAACTGCTTCTCCATCTTACTCCGAAAAGTATCCTTAATACTCCAACAGGTATATGAGTCTAAACTATTTCCTTTCTTTCACGGGAAGTTCCTGGAGAATGCCATGCATGGTACTTTTAAGGATAACCCGATCATATAGCTAAACATAATGATAAACTCAGTTTCGCAAGAAAAAGCTGGGGGTGGATGGTTCATGTAACGGAAGTTCCCGAAAGAATGCTATATGTAATTTTCTTAGGAATAACCCGATCATTGCAAACAAAGTGTTAAACACTACATCCCCACGGTGATTTCCGAATATTCTTTTGCTGAGATGAGATTCGATCACTTCGTTGGATCAATCTTCCCTCTCAAACCCTCCTTTGGTCAAACCTTTAAACAGTTAGGACCAAAGCCAAAATCCCCTCTCGATTCGTTCCATGAACGAGAGGTCCACAAATTGAACGATCAAACCTTTAAACAGTTAGGATCGTATCAAATCCCCATGTTGGTCCCCCGTGTTGGTCAAACCTTTAAACAGTTAGGACCAAAGCCAAAATCCCCTCTCGATTCGTTCCATGAACGAGAGGTCCACAAATTGAACGATCAAACCTTTAAACAGTTAGGATCGTCTCGAATTCCCTTTTGGTTAAACCTTTAAACAGTTAGGACCAAAGCCAAAATCCCCTCTCGATTCGTTCCATGAACGAGAGGTCCACAAATTGAACGATCAAACCTTTAAACAGTTAGGATCGTCTCAAAACTCCAACTTGGTCAAACCTTACTACAGTTAGGACCACAACCAAAATCTCCTTTCGATTCATTTTTGCGAACGAAAGGTTTACTTTTGAATTGAGTAATCAAACCTTATGACAGTTAGGATTATTCAAACCAATCCAGATTCTCTAAGTGGAGATCCCACTTTGAGTTTCCTTTGCACCTGGAGATAGAATATAAAATTCTTCCTCTCCAGGATTGGGTTCATCTCTACCAACAAAAAAGAGACCATAATACTCCAACTAGTGTCAACTTGACGACAAGAGCTGATTTCACAAGTACAAGTTCCAGCTTTAATTCAAGATCTCTACAACGGTCAAGCGATAAACGCAATGCCGGAGAAATATTAGCTATTCTACAAAGAACTGAATAGACTAACGGATGAAGAGATCAAGAGCCAAAGCCATTTTATGGATTCTTGTACACGATCTACTCAACCAAGTATTGAAGAGATTGTAAGAAAAATCTATCTTATCCAAAGTATCCCAGACTCCTCTATAAAAGAATGAGTCTGGAAAACTTTGGAGGGGGTATCTGTAGGCGTTAAAAAATGCTGAAAGATATCCAAACACAGCTCAAAAGGAGGTCATCCAAAAATAAAAAAAAAGGACACAAGTATAGACTGTCTCGCACGCGAGACAATCTTTACTGTCTCGCACGCGAGACGGACTTTACTGTCTCTCCGTGCGAGACAATTTTGAAATGGTCAGAAACCACCTTGAACAACTGCCACACACGTCCATTAACTGTCAAAGAACATGGGGAACGTCGTGGGCGAGAATCACGTTGATAACTGCCAAAATAACGGAGTTGTAAAACGTGGGAAGGCAGTTACAACGAAAACTGCCAGACAGTTACTATTCCCGAGACAATATTTACTGTCTCGCGGGAACATTATTT